TAAAATCTTTAAAAGAAATGTTCAGAGAGTTTAAGGAGCAATGCTTTTCTCCTAATTTCTAAGACTTAAGTGGAAAATTTTTTATGTGTAAGGCTCTTAAATATTCTCAGGGTACTAATTAAAGTTGTTAATTATTTTTGAATGAAATAATTTGTTCAAAATGTAATTTTTACTCCTGTAATAAAATGTCTGGATGTGTATTTTCTAAAAATATTTCTAGACATGGAGGAAAAAATTAGAAGTCAAGCTCTAATGCATAAACCAAAGCTATATGCAGATTAACGATACTTAGAAAAAAATATATGTACAAACACACATTCTAGGCCCACTAGTTAGTATGTGTTCCCTAGGTGGCCCGCCTTATTTATTGAAATATGAGAACATGTTTTATGTTTTTCTTCTTAAACGTATCATTAGGTACATTATGCAACATGTGTGGTGCATTGCAGATATTGCTTTGACTTGTAATTTCCCCTAGGTGGCGGTCTTTTCAAAGAAGAGATGCCAGCATCGCTACCTAAGATAATTGAGCTTGTATGGGCACCAATATTTATTTACACACTACGCTAGCAACTATTTTCATGGGGCGTGGGGCAGAGGAGACAATATGATTTTAAACTATGTCTCCAAAATATTGCAAAATTGAAGAGATGGATATATCTACTTTAAACATGTAAATAAATATTTGAGAAAAGACTTTTCAAAACCATTGGTGTGAATTAAGCTGAGATTTTGGTTAATTATGGAGAAGGCTGAAGCATTTTACCCAAATCTCGCTTTCTGGGCTGCCGATAGTTCCTTTTTTAAAACCCTGACATTATTATTTAATTAAATGTTTCATTGATCTATTTAGATTAGTAATTTTTTTCATGTTGTGCGCAATTGCTCTTTTGTGGGTATTTCACTGGTAAATGAGTGGGTGGGTGGTAAACGAGGTGGGTGAGCAAGGTGAAGCCCACTTACATTTTAGATGTTTTCATAATACATTTTAAAAGAGAAAGAGACAGTAACGTAAAAAGGATTAGACTACCTTGTTGCACGTGAATGATATGGTTGAAAAATATTTTAAAATTCAGAAAGATAAAATTTTCTTTCTCTTCCCACATTCTTCTTACTCTAACATCTACCTTCTAAGACACTCACACATTCACACTTGATATTTGCATATATAAACTTAGCTTTCTTCTGTTTTGGAATTTATCTTTTGTTTTTGTTTTGTTTTGTGTTTAAGTTTTCCATTACTCTATCCTAATGTTTAACCTTCAAGAGATGCAGGACTGGCAGTTACAAAGCAGGTCTCCAGCATCTGTCTCCTAAATGTCACCACAGAGTAATTTGAAGTATCCTAGAATCCTTCAAAGGAAACAGATATAGAATTAAAGTAGCAATTAATGTTTACGTAGCTCTTTGCAAGGCAATTTCATACTTATTATATACTTTGACACTTGTATAACCCTGAGCAGTCAGAAAGAAGGAACTACCATCATTCCCATTTTACAAGTGAATAATTTTTTAATGGGTCTTTCATTACGATAAATTGGTAACTGAAAAACCAGGACTCAAAGCTATTTCTTTTTCCTTTGTAAACTTGCTGGTTTTGGCTGTATCCAGCTCTTTTCAATAAGACCCAAATTCTGTCCCCACGGACTTTCCTTGGCTTCTACCTGCCCACACATAACATTAATATACTGCTGTATTTAACAAGAGGAGCTGTTTCAAAATTAAAGTGAAGTTTCTCTGACTAAACAGCCCCTGGGAAGGGAGTTATTGAACCAACTTATAAGAAGCTCTCGCTTTCCCTTTGGTACCCTGAGCCGAGGCCACCAACAATAAAGCAAAGGAGCAGCATACTTCAACTAAAACTTTCACCAGAGTCCATTTGGATCTTTGACAGAGTAATTTCCATGTCTTTCGCAATCTCATCCTTGGCCACTACTCAAAGTGCAAAGTCCATTTTCCCCTCCCCTGCTATCTCAGTTAATCAATCCATCCTCCCCAAAGTCTCACTGGGCCCCCTCTAACTGCTCGTCACACCGTTGCTTTCCTCCTACAGTGCTAACCCTGTTACCTTTGAACACCTCCAGTCAGGGCCAGCTACACGATTTGTAGAGCCCAGTGCAAAATGTAAATGTGGCTCCCTGATATAAAACACAGGGTTACGGGGAAGCTTTTTTCTTTCTTCCGTGGACTCTTTCTAAACCAGTCACAGTGGTTTTAAAAAATTTATTTAATGCCATGCTTCTCCAGGGGAGAAGCCAGTTGGCCCCTCACAGGAACCCAGTGAACTCCATGGCTTCCGGTGTCTAGGGCCTTTGTCTAGTGCCCTGCTTGGGGCAGCAACAGCTGCTGGCAGTGCAGGGTGTGGGGCAGAGGTGGCTGAAGTCTTGTCCGGAAACAGTGGGGAGTCAAGACAACAGGTGGCACTTGAACCAGGATGGCTATGAATGTGGCCTAACACAAAATCATAAATTTACTTAAAACATTAGACTTTTTCTTTGTGTGTGATCATGAGTCGCAATGTATTTCATGTGTGGCCCAAGACAATACTTGTTCTTCCAGTATGGCCCAGAGAGGCCAAAAGGTGGGACATCCCTGAGTGAGGTGAGAGGCAAGGTTCTCGGCCCCTGCATATTCTCCGTTGTCTCAACAGATAACACTTACAAAACACAAATTCAAAGATAAAATTAATAAGAATTTCAAGGTGATGTAAAGCCCCACGTACGGAGTCTCCTTTTGAGAACAGGCCCCTGTCTGAGAGCACAGGGAGCACCCTCAGGGGCCAGGCCTGCCCCCTCATGGGAAACAGCTTCTCCAGCATTCTCAACCTTTTCCCGGACCCTGCCTTCTGGCTTCATGAAATCTGGTGCCCCTACAAAGAACTTGGCTTTCTTTGATGCTGCCTGACTGAGGCCACACTGCTTATTTTCTCCTGTTCATGGGACTGGGCTGGGGCTGGGAGGCGTAACTCCAGCCCTACATGTTGCCCACTTACATACCATTGTCCTTTCAAACTTAGGTAAATGAGGTGCACAATGTGACGGTGACCTTAGCCCCTCTACACATCTCTTTTTCATCTGTTGTACACTGTCTACCTTCCACTGATCGTTGCCTCCAGAGCACAAACTTCCTCTCCGTTGTCAAATCCTGCCATCCTCCCAGCTATGTTGGAAACTCAAATACAAGCTGCTATTTCACAGGTGTTTGACCTCAACCCCATTGGCCTTCCAATTTCCCTTAGTTACTTAATTTTGTCATCGTACCTTTGGTCTTCTCATAACCATGAACCGCTAGGCCAATGAAATCTTAAATTTGAACTTCCTTTTCTTTGGCAATTTTCTTCTCTTATTCTGTTCTCTAACCCCTTATTCTCATAAAGACTGATGCAGCCTTTTAGAGAAGAAAGGATTCTTTGGATGCAACAGAAATAAGTTTTGATTTCGCCTTGAGAGTTTTAAATTGTCCCATATCAAATCGTCCCATGTCTTATGCTTCACAGCTTTTGCAGTTGATGTCATGTGTTTTTGATCATATTTCCAATCTTTTTACTACAATTCTAGAAATTTGAGGAAGGGGAACACGCTTTCTTCTCCACTCTCCATCCTGCCAGCTCTTCATGTAGGCTTACTACACATTTTTCTTGACCTCACTGAGACTCTCAGACTCTCCAACACATTTTTTCTTTTACTCTGCCAAGTCCTTTCTGGCTTTATTTTAATCAGTAATATGTCTAAATTTCATGATTACTGTACTTACTTTTTGAAACTATCCTCAAACCCTGGTTTTTTTCCATTAAATCAGCCCAGAAAAACATGAGCTCTGGGTCAATAGCAATGATCAGAAATGGTACTAATCATTGCATGCTTCACATTTCTTCTAATGTCATCTTCACAGTGATCTTATGAGGTAGACGTAGTTATTCCTAACTTACAAATAAGGAAATTGAAGATCCTCAAGTTTCAATAACTTTTTCGTGTTATTTCTGAAGTTAGAATCTATGATTTTAAAAATTTAGTGTATGAAAATACTATCCAGAGAACTTACTGAGATTTCCAGGTCTCACCTCAAAGATTCTGACTTGGGAGGGTTTGCAAGTGGGATGATATTATGCATGTTTAACAAGCTCCCAAGATAACTCTGACTGCAAATCTCATTTGAGGCTCTCATAACTGTTCCTTCAGTAGGTCTTTATTTGGACTGTCCCTGGAGAGGGAGGTTTTCTGGAGAAGGGAAGTTTTCATTTTTCTCTTGGGCCCTCCAGTCCTGTTGCTATTGCCTTCTGTTAACAAAGTGTGATTATAATAATCTGTCTAAAATCAAATTAAATTTTAAAAATAAATCATATAATGACTAACATAGAATATACTATCAGTCAATTATGTAAAAAATAGTTGCATTTAAGCTATTGGCTTTATTTAGAAGCACAGGATTAGTTACCAGCAATTCTAATGCCTTTTTTTTTTTAACTAATTTCAACCATAGTGACTTTTAACAAAAATTTTTACCAACCCCAAAATATGTGGATATGCCTCTAGTTCTGACCATGAGACAATAAAACATGTAGAGACATGCATTGCCTTTTCTATATAATTATTCACATAGTGGCTAAGAGTTAGAAGAACAACATTCTAAAACTTACTGTAATGAGGCGGTGGGGCGGGTGCGGGGAGGGCCGGGTGGCGACAGCCCTTCTGAGCGGCCTCCCACTGCCTGGCAGGGGCCGCACCTGCAGCAAGAAGGAGGTCGTGGGCAACGAGGGCTAAGGCGCCACCGCCGCCACCGCTGCCACCGCCGCCACCGCCGTAAGCTGGGGAGCCGGTTTGTCTCCTCGCTAAACTATGAGCTCCTTGAAAGAAGGAATCGTGTCTTACTCATCTTTATATCCCCAGCATCCAGTACAGCTCCTGGCACAGATTCCTGAAATCCGTTTGTGTTGATGCTGAAGCTCCAGTCATCGCCGCTGCTGCATACCGTTCCATCGTGTTCAAGCTGAATTGTGGGACATGGCCTCCGCTTCACCAAGGTCTGATACTAGTAATAACCACAGTGGAAGGTTACAGTTACAGGTAATTGTTTCTAGTGCCAAACTAAAAAGAAGAAAGAACTGGTGTGGAACAGCAACATATACAGAAGTAGTTGTAGATGGAGAAATTAAGAAAACTGCAAAATCCAACAGTTCTAATCCAAAATGGGATGCACAACTAACTGTAAATGTGACCCCACAGACCACAATGGAATTTCGAGTTTGGAGTCATCACATTTTGAAAGCAGATGCTTTATTAGGAAGAGCAACAATAGATCTGAAAGAGGCTCTGTTAATACACAACAGAAAGTTGGAAAGAGTGAAAGAACAATTAAAACTTTGCTTGGAAAACAAGAATGGTATAGTGCAAACTGGTGAATTAATGGTTGTGCTGGATGGATTGGTGATTGAGCCAGAATACCTAAAAAGCTGCAGCTCACCTCCAGCCGTAGAAACACAGCAAACTGGTGATGCCTTACATGAAAATGGAGAGCCATCAGCCAGGACAATGACCAGGCTGGCTCCTGGAGGTCTAAATGGAATAGATAACCATGTACCTTCCAACACTGCGGTGCAAAATTCATGCTGTTCACATGTAATTAATGGAGACAGTGCACCTTCATCTCCATCTCAGGCAGGGGCCAGACCTCCAAGCACACCAGCTCCCAAACCACTCACCTCTGAGCCAGCCAGTGACGCTGGTAATGGAGAATCAACCTCACTTGCACCAACTGCTGGCCCTCCTGCCACAGGGACTGCAGTGGTCCCTGAGGATGGCACCTCCTCATCACGTTGCATTGGGACCACTGGTGAGGAGGCCACTGTTCCAGAAGTGCCCGTGTCCTCGGAGCACAATGGATGCGTCCTCTCTGATGGCATGACATCCGGGTCTGGGGCCGATGGTGACCCAGACCCTGCTGCCTCTGCTCCTCGAAATAGCTCTGCCTTCGAAGCAGTCAAGTTAAGGCCGCAGGGTGGGTGTGTGGAGCGTGGGAGGAATGCCGGCACGGAAACCCTGCCCTCGGGGTGGGAGCAGAGGAAAGACCCTCATGGGAAAGCCTATTACGTGGATCATAATACTCGAACGACCACGTGGGAGAGACCACAGCCTTTACCTTCAGGCTGGGAGAGAAGAGTAGATGACCGTGGCAGGGTGTACTACGTGGACCACAATACCAGGACAACCACATGGCAGCGGCCGACCCTGGAGTCACTGCGGAACTTTGAACAGTGGCAGTCACAGCGCAGCCAGCTGCAGGGTGCCCTGCAGCAGTTTAACCAGCGCTACCTCTACTCGGCTTCAGTGTTAGCTGCAGAAAATGATCCCTATGGGCCTTTGCCACCGGGTTGGGAAAAAAGAGCGGATTCAACAGACAGAATTTACTTCGTGAATCATAACACAAAAACCACCCAATGGGAAGATCCAAGGACTCAAGGCTTCCTGAACGAAGAGTCCCTGCCAGAAGGCTGGGAGATTAAATATACTCGGGAAGGTGTGCGGTACTTCGTCGATCATAACACCAGAACAACAACGTTCAAAGATCCTCGCAATGGGAAATCATCTGTAACTAAAGGAGGTCCACAGATTGCATATGAACGCAGCTTTAGGTGGAAGCTTGCTCACTTCCGTTGCTTGTGTCGGTCCAACGCACTACCCAGTCACCTAAGGATCAACGTGTCCCGGCAGACATTGTTCGAAGATTCCTTTCAGCAGATTATGGCATTAAAACCCTATGACTTGAGGAGGCGATTATATGTAATTTTTAGAGGAGAAGAAGGACTTGATTATGGTGGTTTAGCAAGAGAATGGTTTTTCTTGCTCTCACATGAAGTCCTGAATCCCATGTACTGCTTGTTCGAGTACGCAGGCAAGAACAACTACTGTCTACAGATCAATCCCGCATCCACCATCAATCCGGACCACCTTTCCTACTTCTGCTTCATAGGTCGCTTCATTGCCATGGCACTTTTCAATGAAAAGTTTATTGATACTGGTTTCTCTCTACCATTCTACAAGCGTATGCTAAGTAAAAAACTGACAATTAAGGATTTGGAGTCCATTGATACTGAATTTTATAATTCCCTTATCTGGATAAGAGACAACAACATTGAAGAATGCGGCTTAGAAATATACTTTTCTGTTGATATGGAGATTTTGGGAAAAATTATCTCACATGACCTGAAGCTGGGAGGTGCCAATATCCTGGTGACTGAGGACAACAAAGACGAGTACATTGGTTTAATGTCAGAATGGCGTTTTTCTCGAGGAGTGCAAGAACAGACCAAAGCTTTCCTGGATGGTTTCAATGAAGTTGTTCCTCTTCAGTGGCTGCAGTACTTTGATGAAAAAGAATTGGAGGTTATGCTCTGTGGCATGCAGGAGGTGGACCTGGCCGACTGGCAGAGGAATACTGTGTATCGGCATTACACAAGAAACAGCAAGCAGGTCATTTGGTTTTGGCAGTTTGTGCAGGAGACAGATAATGAGGTCAGAATGCGTCTACTACAGTTTGTCACAGGGACCTGCCGCCTGCCTCTTGGAGGCTTCGCTGAGCTCATGGGAAGTAATGGGCCTCAAAAATTTTGCATTGAAAAAGTTGGGAAAGACACCTGGTTACCAAGAAGCTACACATGTTTTAATCGCTTGGATCTGCCACCGTATAAGAGTTATGAGCAACTGAAGGAGAAACTTCTTTTTGCAATAGAAGAAACAGAAGGGTTTGGACAAGAATAAATGAGGCTTCTCATCTTGGAGAACTCTGGCGTTCACATACCCCAGCCAAGAAAAATTGCACAGATAAGTGGAAATAAGATGTTCATTCTGGTCAGTGAATTTTCTGAACGTCTCACAGTACATATGTTATCTGTTCTTACACAGAAATATGCAAAAGAACTCATCCTTTTCTACTTTATTATTCCTTTGAACCGATTGACCAGGAAAAAGATCACCCTTAAATTTTGAAGCAAGAGACTTTATTAAGAATAAGTATCTACATTAGCGTGCCAGGAAGTGGTTCTAGTTTTATGAAGCTGCTCGGCTCCATCACCACAGCAGCGCTCCTGCGGAAGCAGTCTGGCTGGCTTCACCTCCGTTCTGCCTCCTCACGCGACATATCCCATGTGGTGTGTGCAGTTTGTGTATCTGTTCAGGAAGGTACTGAAGCCTAGGCCAAATCTGAGTTTGAGTATGTTAACTAATGCTGCTGGCTTTTCTAAAGACAGGTGCTCAAACCTGTCAATTTATTTTAAAGAAATACAATAGTTGAAAATTTCCCCTTTCTGCTACACACTAAGGTAATGCAGTCAAAGTAATGAATGAAAGCATACTTATGTGAAAGTCATTTACTAACCAGACCCAGAACCATTCAGTCTAGTCTAGAAATGAGAAGGAATCCATTGAAAAGCATAGAGTTTTGTTTACGTTCCTTCAGGATACTAGGTGTTTGTGGGATTAAAAGAATCAGGCATGTCCTGTACTTTTGTTTTTAAATGTGATGGTCTTTAAATTTAATTCATAATAAATTGATGCAATTTGGAAAAAGAAAACTTACTGTAATGAAATCTTACTTAAAAACAATAAAAATAGACATATGACATTAAATGTATTAATAGAAGAAACAGCCAGCATTTTGTTTTTTTGTTTAATAACCTATGATTTTTCTGGCTTATTGATAATCTATGCATTGTAAAGACTACTGACCTTGAAAGTCTGGGATTCTGTGTTCCTTATATGGAGTTTCACTCTTACAACCATTGTACTTGCACGTATACTTGTTTTAATTGCACTAATTGTATTCAAAAGTCTTGAGTGTATCTCAAATGTTATATTTCATTTTTTTTCTTGTCAGTGGCTGCTTTATTCGATGGAGACAGCTGGGGTAGCATATGTTCCCTTAAAAGAAACCTTTAAAATTTAAAATTTGGAGAGCACATTTTTAAAATTCACCAAAAAGTAAGGATGCACTTTGCTTCTCATGAGACTTATGAGCTCTCTGGAAGAATTCATACATCAACATATAGGAAGCCTCACTCTATACATGAAGGTGCACTGTAATAGGATCAAGTCCAGAAATATTTCATTAACTTTTACCACAATTTTATATAAATCATTTAAATTAATGACATTATATGTCTTCATTTAAAAATCAAAGTTAATAATGCTTGCCTTAGAGTATATTTTTTAAGATCAAATGAAGTGATGAAAACACGTTGATGAATGTAGGAGGCAAGAGAAGGGAGAAATAGTGTTCATTGGGCATCCATTGTGTTCTGGGCTTTATGCCAGACACATCACATGTGTATTTTTAATTTAATATTCATAATTCACTCAGTAGAGTAGGTATATTATTCCATATGTTAAGGAAAGTATACTACGGCTCTAAGAAATTAGTGGTTTGTTTAAGACCACAAAGTAAATTGTGGAGCCTTGATTAGCAAATTCCTTTGATTCCACCTTCCAAATCCAACCACTTCTCATCACCTCTACTATTGCCACCCTGGTGCAAGTTACCACCTTTTCTTCCCAGGACTATTGCAATAGCTTAACTCTACCCTAGTTTTGCTTTTGTCTCCCTATAGTTTGTTTTTAACATGTAGAAGGAAAACCTTTTAAAATGTGTCAGATTATTCAAACCTCTGCTCAAAACCCTCAGATAAAGTCCTAACTCATTCAGAATAAATGCCAATTTCCTTGAGGAACCATACAGCCCCTGTATTATCTGGGCTCTTATCTTCTGTTACTTCTTTGGCTTTGATCTCTTAACATTCTCTTATTGGCAGGCTGCATCCAGCTGCACTGGCCAGTTGCACCCCTCTGCCTAGACTTGCAGTTCCTCAAACATTGCTGCCATGCTCCTTCTTGATCTTGTCTTTCCCTAGCTGTCTTCATGTATCTCTTCTTCATCTCTTTCAAATCTTGCTCAAATGTCACCTTCTTAATGCAGCTTTACCTAAGTGCCTCATACCCAACTCTCCCATTGCAACTCCCTCTCCCTTGCTTTATTTATCTTTTCTTTGTAATAGAGCACCATCTGCCACAGGAAATATATTGTTTTGACAGTTTATCCTAGTTCTCCACTAGTAGATAAGCATCTTGAGTACAGGTACTCTTAATGTGTTTTTACACTGTTGCACCCCCCTTGGGCATTGCCCAAAGTTGAGCTCCTATCCTGTAATTGCCCTTGGATGAAGGTGATCTTCCTAGCCAACATAAGTCCCTTCCCTGGGGGAAACCCCCGCTCAGTGACTGGTGGGTGAGAGTCTGAAGGCCCAGACCCCTTGCCACAGTCTGAGGCAACTCTGAAGGGCCACTCCGTTTAAGAGCTCCCAGGAGCCAGACCGAGATTTTTCACAACCCTGTTATAATTCCTCTTTTTCCTTCTGTACAATTCTGCTTCTTTCACTTTTTTTCAAAATGTTGTTCCTAAGAGTATTCCCCAATAAGGTCCCTGAAAGCAAATCTTCATTTCAGACTTTCTTTCCTTGGGACCCCTATCCATACATCAGAATCAACAAAAATTATGGCATACAATAAATAGGTGTTTCAGTAAATATATTTTGAATCAAAAATAAATGAATGAATGAAGAAAATAGAGTAGAACAGAATAGGATAAAATAAAATAGGATAATGGTTAAGAATTTGGACCTAGAGTCAAGAAGATCTGTGTTTGAATCACCATTCTGCCTCTTAATTTCCATGATTTAGGATTATTTACATAACAATGAATTTTCCTCATCCATTAAAGAGATCATAACATTCCTTCTCAGAAAATATTTGTTGGAGTGAATGAGATAAAGCATATAAAATTCCCATCCTAGTGTATGGAACATTTAAGTCCTTAATAAATACTATAAAATAATTATTACTGTTACTATTTATGAAAGAGATGTAACCAACTTTCTAAATGAAAAGTTCTTTCTGTAACATGGTTCAAATCTATTATCAGGTCAGAATAAATGGAGACACTTTTCACTATCATTCTTAGGAAAGTATATGTAAGAGTGAAAGTGAGAAATATGAAAATAGTCATGATGGACACAGTGAAATAGATTAAATAAGACTATATTCACAGACTTCTGGAACAGGAAAAAAATGTACAGTAACAGTAAGTATTATAATTCTGTTCAAGTGCTTAAAAGGGCAAGTAGTCCAGCCTGTATTTCTAGGCTGGATTTAACCAGTCATTTCAAAGCTGTTTGTCACCTAAATGAGTCTAATAAATAAGTATGAGGGAATACTTCAAGATCTCTCACTGAATTTTGTTCCAGTGTCTAATCACTCGACACTATGAGATTCTCCTTCAAATAACTTTCAATCTATATCTAGAATTTTAATCTATTTCATGCACTTTTGGCTACTATACTAGTGCAGGACCACTAATCTCCCTCCTTTGAGCCTCAACATCAGTACTTTAATTAACTGAGTTATTTATTGAAACTTGTGCCAAGTGTTGGACTGGGCTTGCCGACAAGTTCTGATTCATGATTCTCCTTACTGTTCTCTGACCTCCTTGGAGTCCCCAAGTCCCTTTCATCTTTTCTAATAGTCTCATTTCCATTTTTGTTGATCTTCTTTGAATGAGCTCCAATTTCTCTACAACTTTCATAAATGCTTAAGGAAAGCCTCGATTATTGCCAAATATGGGAGAAAGATTACTATTCATGATAAGCTTGTCATACTCCTATTAATACACTCCAGCATAATGTTAGCTTTTTAAATAATTGCTTTATGCTGCTGAATCATTCTATTTGTGTTATATAATACATTTTAAGCCATTTCCCCCACTTAGTACTTGAGCACACAAAGTCTTTCTTAAACCAATTGATTTTTTTGGTTTCTTTTTGTACCATTTTTCATTTAAACTTACTAAAATCACTCCTAGTTTTTTAAAAATATTTTTTACATGTCAAGTTAAATTCTCATAATACTCATCCTTTTTATATTTAAAGATTTTATTTATTTATTTTTAGACAGAGGAGAAAGGAGGGAGAAAGAGAGAGAGAAGCAGTAATGTGTAGTTGCTTCTCATGTGCCCCCTACTGGGGACCTGGCCCACACCCAGGCATGTGCCCTGACTGGGAACTGAACTAGTGACCCTGTAGTTTGCTGGCCAGAACTCAATACACTGGGCCACACCAGCCAGGGCTCACCCTTTTTAGAATTAGCAATTCTTCATAGTTCAGTTCAATTCAACTCAATATTTGGCACCTGGTATTTACCAGGTATTGTGCTAGATATAAATACTGTAAAATTGGATAAACATATGCCTTATTAAGAAGTTCTCAACATAGAGTTGACAGAAAATTCCAAGTGCCAAAATAGAAGAATGCATACATTCAAATAAAGGCCAATTGATAGACTTCCCGGTGGAGCTGATGCTAACCTGCTCTGCAATGGTTAAATAGGAATTAAGTAATGAGGAGTGTAGGAGAAGAGCATCCCAGACCTCTAAACAATCAAATATTTAGAGGCTTATATCAGTAAATGTATGTGAGGACTATAAACAGCTTCTCATCATTAGTATAAAATGTAAGCTGAGGAATGGTGAGATAGTTAAAGTTTATTTCAACATTTCTAAGGAACTACTAAAACATTACATAACCTTTGGCCGTCTGGTGTGAGCGTCCTTAGTACAGCTGATCCTCATTAATTGCGGATTTCATATTTGTATATTTGCCTACACTCTCAAATTTATTGGTAATCATGAAATCAATACGCAGGTGCTTTTGTGGACA